CGCGGGGCCAGCCCAGCCTGGCGACAAGGGCGGCAGAGGCGGGAGAGCAAATGCTGTCTTCAGCCGTGGGGATGTGGAGCTGGGGGTGGCAGGTCACATCCTGTGTGTCACTTTGCCCCAGGTATGCTGTGACTGTACTCATGCCACAGAGCCATTGTCAGGTCCGATCTCATCTCCCTGGCAGGACCTGTGGGGGCAGAGTCAGGCACTGTGGGACCCCCTGCCCCTCTGTCCCTCAGCCATCCACCACACGCTGCTTATGGAGGGTCCTGCCTGCTGATTCTCCTCAGAGGGAGGGTCTCCTCCTTTATGTGACTTTGCAGTGTCACCCAGGAGCTGGAAATCTTTCCCAGAGCTGCATCCACTGACCCCGATTTGCTCTCCCACAAATGGGGGGAGGAAGTGGGGTGTCCCAGGGGAGGGCATCCCTTGACTCATCCCCAGGAAAGCCCAGGCTGTGAGAAGGCTGATCCTGGGACTGAGGACTGTAAACAGCCCAGAGCACTGAACTGGAGATAGCCTGCTACATCAACTGTGTGTCACCACACTGTCACTGCCTGAGTCATGAGCCACGCTGGGGCCAGTGGGGCTGCAAAGGGGGACATGGGGAGAAGAAGAGGAATGTGCACAAGTCCCAGGTCTGGAGACAGCTGGTCTTCTCTGACACAAAGAGTTCAAGTGGGACCCTCTTGGCCCTCTCCCAAAGGTCCCCTTCCCCTCCTTTCACTCTGTCTGACCCCTCAGACCTGGGCAGAGGCCTGGGGGCAGCAGAAAGCTTTTAAAACAAAGGGCAAATCAACCAGCATGATGGTGTGTCCCCCATGACCACCATGGAGTGCCTAGTACCTGGCAGAAGGCTCTGATCCAGGCTGCCCCTGCCTTGTGCCCCATGGGACCCTGGTGGGCCAGGAGCTTCCCCCCAAAGACGTGAGAGTGGGATGCCGGAGAGAACCCGGGGCTGGCATGCTGTTATCACAGGAGACGGGAGGCAGCCCCAGGCTGCTCTCAAGTGCTCCTGGCTGATTAGTGACTTCAAGTGCCTATGGAGTTATTCTAAGTCAAGTAGGAGCAAAGGGAGCCGACCCGAGACCAGCGTCGGGCTTTCCTGGAGTTTCCCACATCACCTCTGCTCCCTGCCAAACTCTCCAAGACGGGGAGGTGTCTCCTCTTTTTCCATCTGCTCTCCCTGTCCCTTACTCCTCCTGCAAGAGGCTGTTTGCTCCAGCCTAAAGCAAACCTGATTTTATCTCCTGACTCCAGTTGCCTTGGCTGTGGGCCATGGTGGATGCCTCCCACGCAGAGGTTGTGAAGCCCATGCGGGGACCCGTGCACAGAGCGGGCTGTGTGAGCTGTGTGTGCCACATGACATCATGTTTACAGCCCCGGGGGCCCAAGGACAGCGGCATCGCTCGCAGCCCAGATATGCGTGTCCTTCCCATGGACGGACAGATGGACGCGTGGGGAGCTGGAGCAAGTGGGACTGGCCACACACCCATGCCTCCCTGAGGAGCAGTGGTTTCAGCTTTGCTGCTCTGCAAGCCAGTTACCTTGGCCTCAGTTTCCCCTTTGGCCACTGGAGAGTGGATTCTGTGCTAGCAGTGAGGGTGCACTGCTGCAGCAGCATGAGGTCAGGCCTTCAAATTGTTGTGCAGCGAGAATGGCAAATTTTCTCCCCTTGGGACGTGGATGTTCCCTTCTCTCCCAGGACAGATGCTGTGTGAAACTTAGGTTGTTTGGAAAGAGCAACAATGTCCAGAGTTACAGGCTAAAAAGTGCTGCTAGGGCTTTTTTTTTTCTCCTGTCCATCTGTCCATCCATCCATCCATCCATCCACACCCGCAAGCAGCTTTCTCACAGCCATCTCTCTATCCATCTCCTGAGCTTTCTGTACACTCATCCATCCATCCATCAACAAATGCATACATTACTCTTCCCATCCAGCCCCCTTACCTGTCCAGCCAGGGCTATCCATCCATCCATCCATCCATCCATCCATCCATCCATCCATCCATCCATCCATCCATCCATCTCCCGCCTGTCAGTGCCCAAGGGATTACCAGCCCTCCCCGGGTGTGGTGTGTACTCACAAGTGTGTGCACATGTGTGTGTGGGTCATGCAAAGTGCTGTGGGCCGTGATGTCCCAGGCCATGTCCAGCCATGGGGCAGGGCCAGGAGTGCTGGCCAGGGGGAGGGGGACTTGTCTAATTTAAGAATGGGCCCTACAGTCGCTGTCAGCACTGGACTGCTGTCATCTGGGGACAGGTCCTCATCAGCTCTGCTTGCCGCCCGCCAGCCTGACATGAAAGGGCTCTGCACCCCGATAAGGCCCCAGACACTTGGTCCCAGAGGTGGGCAGCACTGTGGCCAGGCCTGGGGGAGCTGAGGAGTAAGTCCTAGCATGGCTGTCCCCAAATTCACTGTCACTTCAGCACCATGTGGCTTGTTTGTTTGCATCAGTTGGGAGCCCAGCCCTGGGGGCCACCCTCCACTCTGAGCACTGGATCATGCCCTGTGTCACCACCGTCTCCCACTGGTGACATAGCCCCAGGGAGGGCACCATCCTCATCATCCCCCTGGCTGCCACAGGCCTGTCTGCTGGCTGCTACCCTGCACTGGAGTCCCCCAGCTGTGAGCAGCCATGGATGGGGACCGTGTTGTTTTAATAAGATCATTCTGCTCCTGCTGTGAGGCCGCAACCCGGGCTTATGACATCACAGCGCGCTGCCATGGAAATGCCGGGATGTCACAAACACAGCTCGATGACCTCACTGCAGGAGCAGCAGAGGAGGCCAACGTGGGTTTGATTGCCAATGTCCTCAGGAATAAAGGAGGGGAGGGACGCTGGGAAAGTATGCGGCCGCTGAGCGCCGGGGTGTTTGGGTTGGAAATGGCCACGCTTTCCCCACAGCAGGAAAGGCCCATTATTTCCTCCCCTGTCCGCTCCCTCCCAGCAGCCAGAGCCCCCCCAGCCTTGTGGCTGTGGGGTAGGAGGGCTGTTGGAGCAGGGCACCCCCATCCATGCCCTTGGGGCTGCATGGCTGGGAACGAGAGACAGAGCTCAGCAAGTACCAGGGCACCAGCCTAGAGGCAGAGGGAGGTCAGTGGGGGTGCAGGATGGGCCACTCAGGGCATGCTTTGTCTCACAAGCAGGCTGGGGATCGCTGGGGATGCAGTCACAAGAGGCAGAGTGGCCTGGAGTCCAGGGGAGGTCTCCTCTTCCTCAAGAGGACTTCAAAGTCACACTGCTATGTGGGGATGATTCCCCAACACAGCACCCTCAAAACTGGACCTCAAAGCACCTCTTGGCCCAACCCAGCCACCCAATAACTGTCCCCTCCCCAGCCCGTAACCAACAACTTCTTCTGGGGACCCTAGGCCCAACTGGGGACCCCACAGCCCCTCTGTCCCATCACCCCTGCCACAGCTGAGTTCTATGTCCTTTGCCACTGGGAGAAACATGGCTGGTTGGGGGGCACCCGTCCCCCCAGCTCTCTGTTGCAGGGGTGCAGGGGTGCCTGCTCTCCCCTTGCATCCTCCATCATTAATTTCCATCAGTGGCCAAGTGGGGCCGGGGCTGCCTGGGGGTGGCCGAGGAACACAGCGCTTTCCCCTGATAGCAAAAATAAATACATTAAAATTCTTGCAGGAGGCAGAAGAATGCGGGACGGCAGGAAAAAATTGTTTTATAATTTGTAATAACACAAAAGCCGGGGGGGGAGTGCGCTGCAAGAGGCGAGGAAAGGCAGAGACAAAGGATCAGCTGTGATGGTGGAGGCTGCTTCAGAGTGGCAGTGGCATCCCTGTCACCCTGGATTAGTATGACCACTGTCACCTTGTCCCCTGAAGTACGTGTGCCTTTGGGTCTTGTTGCAGAAGGGGAGGAAGCAAGAAAATTACCAGGGCTGTGAGAACAGACAACCACTCCCCACCTGCTCAAGCAGGTCTCAGCATCTCTGAGCCTCAGTTTCCCCTAGCTGAAGGAGAATTTTTATGCAGCTGTGAGAAAAGCTGTGAAATAGAGGCAAACTCCTGGCACACACCCCATCCCAGGTCCTCTGACCCAGACACAGGGCAAGGAGCCCACCTTCGTCCACTCTGCCCCACAGCCCCTCTAAGGGGGCTTTGCCCTGGGACCCAGGCAGTGGGACCAGCTCCCCTGGGTGTGCTGGGGGCACGGCAGCCCCCGGCCCCTCCAGCCTCACCAGAGCTGACATGACAAGGCGAGTCGCTGAGCACCAGCCGCACCTGCTCGCCGAGACGGCACCCCCGCCCCCCGCTCCCCTCTTCGGGGCAAAATCAAAGGGATTTTTCTGCCCTTAGGAAATCAGATAAAGGCTTCTCACCTGCCCCGCGCTGCCTTTGCGAGGAGGCCAGGCGCTAGGGGCGGAGGGACAACAGGCACTTTCAACACGCCGGCAGATGAGCCGAGCGCTGCCGGCAGGGGCTGGGCCCCTGGGCACGGCTCAGCCTGGCCAGCCGCAGCAGGGATGTCCCCTCTCACCAGCTGCGCTGCGGACTATCCCCCAAATCAGAGCTTACGGGGTCCCTGTAGGACAGCCAGCATGGAGGGGTGGGTGAAGGAAAAGCAACAGGGACAGGGCATGGTGCAGAGATGCAGTGCCCAACTCAGGGACTGAGCCCGTGTCCCTGTGTCCCTGTGTCCCCAAGCTGTGGCCAGGGCAGCCCAGTGCTAGTCACCATGGCAAGGGTGCAGACCAGGAGCCCATTTCCTGTGTGGGAGGGCAGAGAAGGAGCAGGTGTGAGTCCTCCAGAGGTGGTGGGAGTCTCTTACCTCCCGTGCCCAGGAGGGAGAGAATTGTGCCAAGCTGCTGATAAAGCCTGAGTCATTCACCACCGAATGCTGCTAGCAGGGAGCAGACGTGCCCAGGTGAAGGGATGAAACCACGGGTGATCAAGGCAAGGGGAACATTATGGGCAAGCCAAGGGCTTGAGATGGGCAGGGTATGGGAGGCCAAGAGGGGGGACAGAGCACAAATGGCTGCTGGAGGGACGGCTGATCTCACCAGCAGCAAGGGTGCCCTGCTTTACCCATCTCGGGTGGAAGACACTTTTCTTTCCCTTGGGCTAACCCAGTGGGCTGGCTGGTTTCTCCATGGAGCTGGGTACAGAGATCAGGTGAGACTCCCCCAGGGCAGATCCTCTCCCAGGATCCATGGCCCAGATGCTGCAGGGCTGGGAGCTGATTCCCAACCTCTGCTGGGAGCCATAAATGGTACAAGAGGAATCAGAGATGCAGAGCACTGGACTGAGCTCTGGAAAACCATTCCTGAGGCTCCTCTGTGGAGTGCATTGGTGTGGCAGGCTATGGGCTCCTCCTGTCCCCAGCTGCACAGCCCTTGTGTGTCCCTCTGCTACCTTCTGGGCACGTCAGCTTCCTCCTGCCCAGGCAGCTCCTGCTGCTCCTGCTGCTATGAACTGGTGTGGGAACTGTGTCTGCTCTGGGTCCCCAGCACCTGAAATGAAAACACCATGAGCAAGATGTCCTTCACCACCAGGAGAATAATAACTCCTGGTCTCCTTGCTCCTAGGGCTGGCTCGATCATTCTCCTGCGTGTCCCTCTGCCCCAGGTGTGTCTCTCCAGAGTGCTGGAGCTAAATGTGGGGAGATGCTTGTTATGGGTTGCTCCTCCAGCTTTCCCAGGTGGGACAGACTGCTCTGAGGACAGGCAGGGTCACGGAGCCAGGGTTGAGCCAGGCGGACCCAGGCAGGGACAGGG